TGCAAGTCTCCCAGGGCTAATATTTCCAAGTAGGTTATGGTCAAGGGATACGTGGGGAGGGAGAAGTCTTATCTGTATGTTTTGGGGTTTTGATTAAATATATCCTAATCAGGAGGGCTTTTTAAGGGCTCATTCTGCTGCTTTTCCTCATGAAGAATAGCTAGAAGAAGCAAGTCAGAGTGGATTACTGGCACAGAGTCAGGTTTCCAAGTGTTAAAGAAAATGTCCAGATCCCTTGCATGTTTAAAGACCAAGTTCAAAGTGATCTTAGAGCACAGGAAATAAATTAATTGCTGCCTTTGTTCAGCAGAAGTCATGACCAACAGATCAGAAGTGAGCTGCATGGTCTTCTGGAAGGGAGGTGTGTTTCTTGTGAAGCTTACGCTCAGGTTGGGGACCTTATCACTCAGTCAGGCAATATCCTTGTTTTTTTTTTTCCAGTTGTGGCAGCTTAGTAGGAAAATGAAAACAAACTGACGGTGGCTGGAAGGGGCAGGGATCACATCCAGAAAAGTCTCATGAGGAAAGTACAAAGACAGGAATGGCAGTGCTGTAATAGCACTCTTGGTCATCTAATGGAGCAGTAGCCACTCAACTCCAGCTGGCTTTTGTCTGCAATTTAAGACATCAAAAACCTTTTTGATGTTTAAATCGAGTGTGCTGCAGTAGCCCAGGTGTAAAGTACAGTTGCTGCCCTGACTCACAAAGACTTTCATGTGGAGAATACACTGGGTAAGGGGAGAGTTAGTAAACAAATACAACAGCTCTGCCAGTGTACCAGAAACATCGTTCTGTACCACATGGATTTTTGCTTCCGTTCAAAAAGCAAGGATTGTTCAATGAGAAGTACTAGAGTTTAGAAATGTAGAATTTGTCTCACTTTGCACAATTTTCCAAACCCAGCTTCTGCCTTAAAGATTGTTCCTTGTTGAAATGTCTTCCTTCTTAAATCTGTGAAGTGGATCTTTCAGGAAAAACTTAAATGCACGTTTTAGTGCTGCTTCCTGAATGACAGTGACTCAATAGCACAAAAGAAACACTATTATATGCACCATAGCCTTTGTTCAAAGGCTATTTTAACAGTAACTTCAGAGCTGCCTCGAAGGCGAGCGAAGAAGATTCCTCTCTTCAGTTCCCTATAACTAGACTGGATGTAGCCCTGGAGACTGTGCTATATTCCCCCTGGAAATAGGGTTGAGATTCGGTAAGTCAGTGGCAAAAGCCAGCAGAAGCTATTGCAATGGAAAAGAGGTCTAATTTCAAACACTTGAAAAAATGGAGTCTGCACAACTGGACCAACCTTAAGGTCTAAAAGTACTTTTTTTCTTAATTGCTAAAGCTGTCAGTCACTTAAAAGTACAAGTAAGATGAAGTGAAGTAGATGTCTACGTGTTTAAGCTTGGCGATGAGAAATAATGGCTTTGAGGACATTATTGTGGAGGATAAATGAATACTGTGTATCTAACTTTGTTCTTTCCCTGCTTTTAAAGAACAATTCTAGTTGACGAGAGGAACCTCTTTAACTTAGTCCAGAGTTGCAAAATGAGACCTAGCCACAGACTGAAAAGACCCTGAAATCAGGATCCTGTGGCGGTGCGTATTAGTTTAAGGAGGCTAAAGGCAGTATTTCCTGACAGGGACTTCAATAAGCATCCTCTGTCCCAATCTTGGCGAAGTGGTATGATAGGACACAAATGCAGAAGGAAACTAATGGGGTAGCACCAGGTGCCCAAGGGCATCTTTCCTTGGTAAGTGCTTTCCTACTGCTCCATCCTAACCTGTTTACCTGCTGGTGTCCTAGGAGGCCAAGCTCTGCTCTTGAATCTGGAAGGATATATGAATTACACAGCATTGGAATTGTTGCAGTTTGCGTATGGTAAGGAAAACTTCTTGGACGTATCTGGGAGGTGAATGGTGGTGGTACAGTGACCATCTTTGACAAACTCTGTGCTGCCTGAAGGGTTGTAGCACGTGCTGTATTGCTGCATTCAGCTGGTTAGACGCTCTGTATGTATTTAATATTTCTGACTTGCAATTAAATTCCTGATGGGACATGACTGGCCTGAAGGTTCTGCTGGATGGATGTGTTTGCTTCATTCATCCTGTCCTGTCAAAGCCATTCATTGCTTTAATCTGAATCTGAGTATTCCCCTGGAAGCATATAATTTTTCACTAGTTTAGGCTGAAGAGATTGAGAAATCATTGAGTGCTTCTGATGGATTATGTGAGGTCCTGTAATACAACACTTGCAGCTTTTGATAAATTGCCGGACTGATGTTTTGAAAGGCTTTTTTTTTTTGTGTGTGTCCAGATTTCTTTTCAGTCAATCCATATTCTGTTGCTGGCACTCACTTCAGTCTTTTTTTCTTCCTGGGCTTTGGCACTTGAGCTGCTAGTTTGGCCTTGGAGACTTCCAATGTGGCCCAGTTTCCCTAGCTAAGAACTTTTGCAAGGTCTTGGAAGGGTTTAAAAAGAGTTACTTCTGCTTCTGGATGACTGAAATGATCCTGAGGATGTATTAGGCTTTAAAATTTTCTGTCTTCTGGAAGAAGAGTCCTGCTTTTTCAAAGGGACAGGTGCTGCTCGTTTCCATATTTAGATCTATGATGATTATGCACTTGTGTCTGTTTTTGGTACCTACTGCAGGATCAAGGTGATTGTATTAATTAAGAATATAGGCAAACTGGTATCTCATGGGAGTGGTGGGGGGCTCTTTCAAATAAAACTAAGTTTATTCCAGTGGAGAGCTAGTGCTGCTTTTCTGCTGTAGAAGAAATCTTGTTTTCTAATAAAATGCATGCTAGGCTGTCACAGCAGAAGATCTGGTGCTGTTAGGAGCCTTTGAAGCTGTGATCCTTTCTGGACGGCAGGCCACTATAGCTATTCAGAAGCGGGATGTTTGGAATGTAGTGCTGCTTTTCTGCTGTAGAAGAAATCTTGTTTTCTAATAAAATGCATGCTAGGCTGTCACAGCAGAAGATCTGGTGCTGTTAGGAGCCTTTGAAGCTGTGATCCTTTCTGGACGGCAGGCCACTATAGCTATTCAGAAGCGGGATGTTTGGAATGCCTAGACTCCTGTTGTTGTCTGGTTTGCTTTGTGCTATGAAGTTAATACTATAAGGAAAATGTACCTTTACAGGCCTTCGGACTAATTATGAACCCTTCCATACATGCAGAGATGAGGGAAACACATCCCCAGCTGCTGTGCTCAACTGACAGTAATGTTTCAACTCCCATGTCTGCTCCACTGGTGTCTTGGATACTTACATTCTGTTCTCCTATACCAGTGAGCTGAGCGGGATGGTTTTTTGGTGTTCAAATCAAGAAAAATGATGCCTTCCTGTTTCGTGAAGGACTCCGAACATTACAGGGCTGACTGGTTTCTTTAGGGCTGACCAAACAGTTCAAGAAAAATAGGAGCCATTTCAAATACAGTCAGGTTTGCTGAAGCAATAGTTGAGTCATTGGTGGAGAGAAGATGAGTGTGTCAGGTCTGGAACATGAGCTATTTTGTATCCCAGAGGAAGAAATATGCTGATATTTGGTAGGCCTCCAATTCCTGCAAACCAGAAAAGGACGTGCCTATTTATTTTCCTTACCGGAGTCCTCTTTGTGTTGCCGTGCATTGCGTCCAACAGCCCAGATTTATAATTCAATCTGCGTCTATTTGTTGCTTGACAGAGGAGGATGAAATAATAGCAAGGCTCCGTTTTCTTTATAGCCGGGAACAGATAGCTATGGCTCACCATCACTGTAAACTGTACAGGGGTTTGTGATGTTTCAGATGAATGATGCTGCTGCTGGATGAAAGTAAACGGTGGTGTCCTGGAGCGAGTCCCAGGTTATTCTGTTTTCTCCCAGCAGTTCCTTCCTATAGCAGTGCACTTGAAGAGAGGTACATGGCGGGGGAGAGGTACATTCCTCTTTTTCCTAACACCAGCAGAGACAGTGGAAGTGGAGTTGGTGCAGATACGGTGGGTGTCAGAACCTGTTTTGAGAGGTTTGGCGTTCAGAACTGGGAAGCCTTTGGTGGCTGTAGTAGAGGGGCGTGTGGCATATAGCAAGTCACCAACCTGCTCTGAGCTCCACTTGGGCCCATCAGAGCCCGAGGTCAGTATTTCATCCTTCAAACAATACTGCACTTAAAATCCTGCTTTGCCTTAACTCTACCACATGCCACGGGAGTGAATTTGACCTGTAAGCTAGCTATCTCTGCATAGATCTGCTAATTCCGTAGTTAATTAGGGAACTGGAAAGGAGACATAGCAAATCTAACCGTTACTCTTATTTTTTGCGCATTCTGTTGCATCTTCTGTCTTTTCTGAACTTTCTGAAGTATAGGGGACAAGCAGGTCGAAAATGGGAAGAAAATTAGAAGCGCTTGGCCTGGTGCCTGCCTTTACACTGTGTTGATTAGGTTTTAATTGGCAATTCTTGTCTGTAATATAAGATAATTGCAGAGATTTCCAGGAATTGTTTGTAGAATAGGAAGAAACAGACATATCTGAGTTCTACTGGAGAAATTTAATTAAAGACTTTATAATAAAGCGCAACAGATGGTGCTTTGCTAGTTAGGAAGACAGGCAGGAGGCCTCTTTGTAGACATTCAGCCATGATGGCTGGAGCTTCTGCTTCCTGCTGCCTAGAGATGCTCTGACATAATCTCCCACTAGCGAACTTGAATGGTTCAAGGATGACACGTGCTTTATGTTCTGGTCCAAACTGTTAATAATCGTTCTTCAGAAATTAAAGTTATGCAGCCATAGAGTGAAATTCCTTGTGAAAGGATTCCTTCTGAAAGGCGAGGTGAGAACCCACGTCGATGGGTGTACAGGTCTCTTTATAGATACTGCAGTGGCACGGAGGAAGGAGGATCTTTTTGGTTTTCAGACAGCAGCGCTCCCCAAAAATTCCACGTGAGCCAGCCTCGGACTGGACTGGAATTACATTACTGTGAAACTTGGAAGACAGAAGAGCTTTCTTTTTTTCTCCTCCCTAGTGCTATAAATCAAACCATTTCCAAATTCTTCATCAATCTCCGGCTTTCAGGAAGTTATAAGGAAAGTGGAACAGAGAGAGGGTATTGTAACTGACGGAGAAGAAAATATCTACTCTTTGCAATCCTTGTTGGAGCAGGTACCAAACCTTGCTTTTTTCTTGTTATTTTTAAAAGCATGAAATTATGTTGCAAAAGAAGTTGTGTGTTCATGAAATGGATACAATTTGCTTGTTTAGTATTGCAGTGGAATTCTGATTTTTGTGTGCTCCCCAGCATTGCCAGAGCTTTAATGAAATTTAGCCTTGTGCATCTGCAAAGACTTATCTTGGAAAAGGAAAAATTAGCTACTGGGTAGTGAGATATTACAAGGGACAGTCCTGTTTTAGGAAGAGTTTGTCTGGGTTTGCAAATTTCAGGAAGAACCTAAAATAACAGAACGAACAGCCAACAAAGAGGGAATATTTCACATAGATGTCAAAGAAAGGATTTGTGACCCTGTGGGGTCCTTTCCATGGAGTCACCTCACTGAACGGCCAGACAGATGTGCAAGATGATGACAAGGATGCTTTCAAGCTCCCTGCCTAGCAGATGCTTAGAGGGTATATATTGTCTCACGTTTAAATGAGTTTTCTCACTTGTTAGTATCAGTAATGCTGCAGGGGAGCTCCATGAGATTAACTCTTTGGCCATCTTTTCTTTCTGCAGCTTGGTGTTCATTTCACTGCAGGCTGTATTGAAAAGTGATTACCTGGGAGGGTTTTAGTTACATTGGACTTCAACAAAGGCAGCACCAGATGATCAAGAAGCATTTTAAACGCAAGCTCAGGCCTTCTTTATTTTTTATGAACTGCTTACTAGCCCCCATGGCTAATGCTTTGAGTTGGCTCATTTGCTTCTGTAGCCATAGGATCTTCCAGAGAGGTGAGTGGGTGATTTCCTTATCCAGGCAGATTTCTTTTTTGTTTTGTTTTAAATTGATGCTGATAGTGTTACCTTGTGAAAGCTATAGGGCATTAGAGGCAGCACTTGTTTAGCTCATAACAGGTCATAAAGTGATGAGTGTGCCTGCCGTTCTTTCAAAAGCACAATTTTTTTTAGGGATTCATTCAGGGGAGAAGACGGAGAAGGTGGGGAGATGCATTCACCAAGAGGTTTCAATTTTCTAAAGAGATTAAAAAAACACATCAATGTTTTTGAGTAACAATAGTAATAAGACCACGGTGCTTATTTGGGTATGGAATAGATGAAAAACAAGCCTGGAACTCCTCTCCTGACCCTGCACACTCCTTTTTTATGCCCGGAGAAGCCCTTCCTGAGGAAGTCCATGTGAAATGCTTGCGGTTACCATAGTGAAGCTCACTTTCCAAAACAAAGGAATTCGTTAGGCCAGTGGTGTACGAGAACGTAAATCTGATAGGCTTGCTAAATGAAAGTAAGAAATACAAAAAGGGAAATAGTAACCAGTGTTATTTTTATTCTTCAAGTGTCTTACTCTGTTGAATATTTATCACCTTTCTCTTATAGAATGTGATGTCAAGAGATTTCCTGAAGAGGGATGGGTAAAATTGCCTTTATTGCGTAGACTGTATAACTGAAGTGGAGAAAGATGAAGTGTCTTGGTGGAGGTTACACAGTGGTAGAGGACCCGCTTCATCCCTCGGGTCTTTCCATCAGACTGTGCTGTTTGCGCTTTCTTGAAAAACTTAGGGTTTCTTTCTTTCAAAAGATGCTTAAGACATGGAAAAGGCTCTCTGTTACCTACACAGGGTAGTTTGGGTTAGTTCGATAAAACATTGGAAATTGAAATTTGCCCCAGAATTTTGTGTTCAGAGTATTTATCTAGGAATCTGAAGGGAACGGGTTTTAATTCTGGAAGAGAAACCTTTCCTTAATTTTAGCCACCAAAACTTCAGAATGAATATGATAATGGACAGGGAAGTAGCGTCGATGAATGGAAAACCCAAGAAGGTGGGTTTCTTTCCAGCTTTTTGTGTGGCTTTGAGAAGCCAGCTAATTCATCTAAGGGTAACTGGAACGTGAGACTTTCTGATTCAGATTCCTTCTTAACAAGACAGGCTTAGAATATTTCCTGTTTCTTTTTTAGTCACTACACTGGTGGGATGTTGTGTTCCATTTGTAAACACCACTTCTCTATTAAAGCAAAGCATTGTTCTTAATAGTGAAATTGTTATATTAGTAGTACTAATGCTGTTAACATCAGTGACAAAATTGTGCTGGTACTCCGTTATGGTATAATTGCAACTGGTCATTTAGCTTGGAGCATTGAATGTTTGCTCATTGTACCTTAAAATTTAAGTCTTTCACTTTCTTTTAGGGACCTTTTCCCTCTCACCGGATTGCAGCACAGACTGCCAGACCCACTGTCTCATAGACTGCGGGCAGGGACATTACTACGTAGCTGGCAACTGCTTGGAATGTCCGACAGGTTTCTAGTAAGTCTCCTTCCTTATAGATCCCTGCAGAGATCCCAATCCTTTATAGATCCGTGCATCTGTGGCTAAAAGGGCATTTGTATGTGTAGTTGGTGAGAGGCATGTTCCTGTATCTGCACACCACCTGTACTAGCTGATAGGGAATGGAATTCTAAAGAAGAATTCATTTTTTATAACTTTATTATTTTTGATCCAGTTGCCCTGGGGGTCAGGCAGCTCCGAGGAAATGCCCGCTGGGAACAGCCAATGAACTTACTGCTCAAGCAGAGATCACAGCCTGCCGGGTAAGCTGAAGGGCAGGGGAAGAGAGCAAGGAAGTGAAGTAGTACTTTTTGCCTCTACTCCCATGTATTTTGAATCATCTGATTTCAGGCTTCTTCCCAGATTTTGAGGTCTGCTTAGAAATTTTTCAGGAGATGCTTGCACTGTGTTTGGCTTAGAGAAAGCAGGTTGTCCTTCCAGATAGACAGCGAGCAGCTCTCCCTCCATTCATTGTTTATACCACTGACACTAAAAAGCACATGTTGGGAGCTCTCAAGAGCACATAGGCCAGATTTTGACAGCGATCCAAGATCCTTTCTTTCTGGCACTTCTGCCTGAGGGTGTCTGAAACTGCTGGTTTACGTTATTCATGCAAAGAATATGTTTTTGTGGATCTGAAGGTCTTTGTGATCTCACTGCAGGTTTGTCCCAATGGCTGTCTCAGCCTTGAGAGCGGAGGTGGGTGCCGTGCGTGTCCGGATGGTTATTCCTGTGATCCACGTAGTGGTGTGCAGAGGAGCTGCAGTCCTGGGTAGTCCAACTCACCAGAGGGAGAGTTGGAGTGTCGGGCATGTCCAGAGGGATACATCTGCCCAGACGGACAGAGCAGACAGGTACGGAATGAGCATGTGGTATAGTAGATCTAAGACCTTCCACGAGTAGACTGTATTAAGAGAAATAAATACTTCTTATTTAAATTCTGAGATTTTTAGTGCTTCCAGTCACCAGCCACCACTAAACCCTTTAGCTGAGGACCCGGAGAAGCTCGGAGCACTTTTTCTTCTAAAAATTGTCCCTGGAGATTAGAGCTGAAGCAGCGTTGGGAAGGGAGGAGAGAGCAGAGAAGGAGCAGGCACAAGATAGAATGCAGTGCTGGGCTTTTTCCTGACTCAGGCTTGGCTGGGACGCAGCTTTGGGCAGCGATGGCCATCAGACCTTCTGGTAGCACGAATTTGTATTTCTTCCCCTTAGCATTGTTTGGCCGGTCAGCAGCCAAATCCGAGCCACACTCACTGTATAAGCTGCTCTCCTGGTTCTGTCTCAGCTGAAGATGCTCTGCTCTGCCAGCCCTGCCCAGCAGGTAAGTGTGTCTCACGGGCATCTTCTGGAGTCATTAAAACATAGAACTTCAGGAGACTAAAATGACGCTTTGCTCTGGTAGCACTGAGCTGGCAGTATCAGAACAGGGATAGGGTGTCCGTGTCACCGTGGAACTGGAGGTTAAAATATAATTCCTGAGATAAAGCAGATGCTGTTCGGAAGAGTTGGTGAAAAGCAGAGAACGAAAGTGAGAGAACAGGGGGAATCACAACGGCTTGGTTTATGGGGAAGGTCCAGCTGATGTAGCCTTGGGACATAAACGAGTATATCTGGGTGCGCAAGTGCTGCTGAGCCACGAGGGAAGCTTTTGCTTTCTCTTTCCACACAGAAAGCAGTTCTCTCCGTGACTTTTACTGACCATCTGTAAAACTGATTCATACACAGTTACAGCTTCCTCCATTTCAGCGCCTTGATTCACTGGCCATCACAAATGCCCATATATAGCAGGTGTTGTATTCCCAGGTGGCAACTGTAGAATTTAATAAGGGCCCACTGTGGTTTTCTTACCTAATTTCTCTTCCTGCTTGATACTCTCTAAGAAATCCCAATAAGCCCATGTTCAGGAAATCTCTTCAGTGAGAGTGCAAGTTAAGCCATTCCGGTACTGAATGGCCGCTTGGCATAATTTCCCCATAAAGAAAGAGTTTTCTGCAGCATTAAAATCCTGGCGTGTCTCCTACACATCCCAGAGAATGAGTATAAGCCTAGTGAGGATTTGGTAGCCCAGGGTTAGCTTTCTGCTGTGCTTGTTTCCTGTGATAAAGTGTGGTGCTTCGGTATCCCTCCAAGGCCCTCCCCATAAATCCTGTTCCATTCTCAGTGGAAATAGGAAAAGTTTGGTGCTGCAAGTAGCAGCAGTATCACTGATAATTCCCTCCAGGTACCCTTGGACTTTAATTCACATTTCTTAACCCAGGTGATCCCTAGCAAAAGGCCTGATAAGGGAGAGCATGGCATTTCTGTGGATTTGGAAAAGGATGTGTAGTGTCACTACGGGGATGCGGTTGGAGATTTGCAACCCTACCACACTTTTCTCTCCTGTGAGCCCTATACTGGATGTAAAGATGAACTATTTAATGACCAACTCCAGGTGCCTCCTGCAGAGTCACTAAACTCAGTAACTTGATTCTTATGTCGGTAATTAGAATCTCTCTAATAAAATAATAAAGAGTTCCTGTACTCTGGGTGTCTTACCCATTGTCCAGTAGAAGAAGAAACGGAGCAGCTAAAGAGGCTGTGCTAGACCAAGATCTCAGCAGCTTAGATGCAGTTATAATACATCCGTGAGAGAATAGAACAGAGGATTTCTCGTGTTTCCAGTGTCTGGAATGAATAGCAAATAATATATTTCTTGCGGGGTCAGTCATACACGGGAAGCGATGGTGGGTTTGTTGGTGTGTATCTTACTACATTTAGTATTTACTGTGCTCTGTAGAAGGCCAGGGAAGTAATTGTGGCTCCATTAAAAAAAAATCAGGAAATGTTGGCTTCTTTGGAGTTAAGGAAGTATTTATAAATTCTACTTACCACAGGTTAAATATATGCAGAGCGTCCCATGCTGAAATGCTGCGTTAAAATGAGTCCCTCTTCTGTTCTTAAATCTGAGTAAGTTATCCAGCCCAATTGCAAAGCCCTTAGATTGTAAGGAGTTTGAATACCATCACAAGCAGGAGAGGGGCCTGAGGATTCCCAGTGTTCTTTTCCATGATCTGACTGGCTTTAATTATATATAATCTTTGTACTTAGTATTGCGTGCAATGTGAACGAAGTGTCATTGCCATGCTGATACATAGCCATATATTTCAGCATAGCAGTGGTGCTTTCATGCCACATTAAAATCCTTTTTTCTTCTTTTTTTTTTTTTTTTTTCACTCTTCAAATATCCATCTGGAGTTTAGTAAAGCATTTGATAATCAAGTTTTACAAAATCTTACTTGGAAAGAGAAATTAATTCTGGCTGGATGTGAGAATTTCATTGCTAAATGGTACAACTGGCAGAAGGATTTTAAGTGAAAGATGCTGGATTAAACTGGGGAAAGGAATGTAGTCCTTAAAGCAGGAACACTTCAGCTGGTCTTTAATCCCCGCGATCTTGGAGAGAGCAGAAGAAATGGAGTAGAAAGAAAGAACAATTAACTCTAATGATACTAACTAATAAAATTAATTTGGATATTTAGCTTAAAATGTCATTGTATGTTTTGAACTAAAAAATGTCATGATGTATTAAACACTTGCATTATCTTTTCCAGCGCAGTTTTACAATAGGAAGAAATCTTTTTAGACAGGAAATTAATGAGAATTTATTTTTCAAATGTTGTCAAAATTTCCAAAACACAAAAAATTTGGGCTATCTGTAATGTGCTGCTTTTAAATAAGTGACCTGCTCTTTTCTTCCCTTGATTGCATCCATGCGTCTCTGCTTATATTGCAGAACCAAGCAATTTATTATAGTCTCCACAGCAGCTTTGTTTGTATTCCTGAAATGAACATGTTCTTGGATATAAAAACAGTCGATCATTTAAATGGCACCTTTCAACAAACAAGAGCTGACTGAAATGCTGTGGAAATTCTAGATCTCAAGAAAAATGTTCATTCCAAATTAAGCAAACCAAAAAAGAAAACTCCATAACCCCCTTCTTTTTTTTTTTTCTTGTAACAACTTGCCATAAATGCTTAAAATGATGCGTAAACTTGAATGAAGTTTGAAAATGTTACTGAGTTTCAAAACTTTTTATTTTTTGTTATTTAGCTTTAGTAGAAGGTGATGCTCCTAGATTTCTGCCCTGTGCTTCTTGAGCCTTGTCTTTTCTCAGTGTAAACACAGGAAAATCTTTTGTCCCTCGAATGCGGTGACCTTTTGAAAGTTCAAATGCTTTAAACATCTTAAAATGTCTTTTCGGGAGCAGGTTCCCCTGCGTCCTCCACGTAGCCCTTGCCCCAGTGAGGGGCAGTTTAGCTGCTGACAGCTTTGAGCTTAAATACGCTCTAGGAAACGGTGTATTGCTTAACACTTGCATTTCTGAACCACGTGTTTTCTTTTCTCTATAGGTCACTTCTGTTCTGATGGCCTTGCGGTCCCTCCGTGCCCAGCAGGGAGTTTCAAGCCCAAGGAGGGACTTCACACACCCAGCAGAAGCTCCTCATGCTTGCGAGGTCTGTATCGGAAAAGATCTGCATTTTCAACAGTGGGGGTAATAATTCTCACTGTAAAACACACTGTTAAATACATCCTTATGAAGAAGGGGCTGGCAGTTACAGTACTTATCTACTGTAAATAAATACGGTATTTAAATCTGGATGAAATCTGGGTGTTCCTTTCATCCAGTATTTGAATCTGGTTGAATGGAACACACATGGAATCTCCTACGAGTCACCAGATTTGTGGTGAAGTATTCAGGAATTACAAAGGTGTTACATCCAGAAATGCTCGCTATCGACTTATTTCATTGGAACTGCCTTCGTGAATGTGGACCCTGCTATTTAGATACCTGCCCTGTGCAGAGGTTTCGGAGAAGTTGCAATGGAAGGAAAAGGTGATTGTACTTTCAGAACAAGGAAGAAAATCGAGGAGCAATCTGAAATGATGTGCTAAATGTCATCCAGCAGGTCAGCTGTGAAGCCTGAGTCAGCAAGTGGCTGCTGTTAAAGCCTATTCAACTGCATCAGCTTTGTATGCGAGACACTGTTTTTAGCACTATTAGTCCACCCACAGGTTAAATATATGCAGAGCGTCCCATGCTGAAATGCTGCGTTAAAATGAGTCCCTCTTCTGTTCTTAAATCTGAGTAAGTTATCCAGCCCAATTGCAAAGCCCTTAGATTGTAAGGAGTTTGAATACCATCACAAGCAGGAGAGGGGCCTGAGGATTCCCAGTGTTCTTTTCCATGATCTGACTGGCTTTAATTATATATAATCTTTGTACTTAGTATTGCGTGCAATGTGAACGAAGTGTCATTGCCATGCTGATACATAGCCATATATTTCAGCAGAGCAGTGGCGCTTTCATGCCACATTAAAATCCTTTTTTCTTCTTTTTTTTTTTTTTTTTTTCACTCTTCAAATATCCATCTGGAGTTTAGTAAAGCATTTGATAATCAAGTTTTACAAAATCTTACTTGGAAAGAGAAATTAATTCTGGCTGGATGTGAGAATTTCATTGCTAAATGGTACAACTGGCAGAAGGATTTTAAGTGAAAGATGCTGGATTAAACTGGGGAAAGGAATGTAGTCCTTAAAGCAGGAACACTTCAGCTGGTCTTTAATCCCCGCGATCTTGGAGAGAGCAGAAGAAATGGAGTAGAAAGAAAGAACAATTAACTCTAATGATACTAACTAATAAAATTAATTTGGATATTTAGCTTAAAATGTCATTGTATGTTTTGAACTAAAAAATGTCATGATGTATTAAACACTTGCATTATCTTTTCCAGCGCAGTTTTACAATAGGAAGAAATCTTTTTAGATGGGAAATTAATGAGAATTTATTTTTCAAATGTTGTCAAAATTTCCAAAACACAAAAAAGTTGGGCTATCTGTAATGTGCTGCTTTTAAATAAGTGACCTGCTCTTTTCTTCCCTTGATTGCATCCATGCGTCTCTGCTTATATTGCAGAACCAAGCAATTTATTATAGTCTCCACAGCAGCTTTGTTTGTATTCCTGAAATGAACATGTTCTTGGATATAAAAACAGTCGATCATTTAAATGGCACCTTTCAACAAACAAGAGCTGACTGAAATGCTGTGGAAATTCTAGATCTCAAGAAAAATGTTCATTCCAAATTAAGCAAACCAAAAAAGAAAACTCCATAACCCCCTTCTTTTTTTTTTTTCTTGTAACAACTTGCCATAAATGCTTAAAATGATGCGTAAACTTGAATGAAGTTTGAAAATGTTACTGAGTTTCAAAACTTTTTATTTTTTGTTATTTAGCTTTAGTAGAAGGTGATGCTCCTAGATTTCTGCCCTGTGCTTCTTGAGCCTTGTCTTTTCTCAGTGTAAACACAGGAAAATCTTTTGTCCCTCGAATGCGGTGACCTTTTGAAAGTTCAAATGCTTTAAACATCTTAAAATGTCTTTTCGGGAGCAGGTTCCCCTGCGTCCTCCACGTAGCCCTTGCCCCAGTGAGGGGCAGTTTAGCTGCTGACAGCTTTGAGCTTAAATACGCTCTAGGAAACGGTGTATTGCTTAACACTTGCATTTCTGAACCACGTGTTTTCTTTTCTCTATAGGTCACTTCTGTTCTGATGGCCTTGCGGTCCCTCCGTGCCCAGCAGGGAGTTTCAAGCCCAAGGAGGGACTTCACACACCCAGCAGAAGCTCCTCATGCTTGCGAGGTCTGTATCGGAAAAGATCTGCATTTTCAACAGTGGGGGTAATAATTCTCACTGTAAAACACACTGTTAAATACATCCTTATGAAGAAGGGGCTGGCAGTTACAGTACTTATCTACTGTAAATAAATACGGTATTTAAATCTGGATGAAATCTGGGTGTTCCTTTCATCCAGTATTTGAATCTGGTTGAATGGAACACACATGGAATCTCCTACGAGTCACCAGATTTGTGGTGAAGTATTCAGGAATTACAAAGGTGTTACATCCAGAAATGCTCGCTATCGACTTATTTCATTGGAACTGCCTTCGTGAATGTGGACCCTGCTATTTAGATACCTGCCCTGTGCAGAGGTTTCGGAGAAGTTGCAATGGAAGGAAAAGGTGATTGTACTTTCAGAACAAGGAAGAAAATCGAGGAGCAATCTGAAATGATGTGCTAAATGTCATCCAGCAGGTCAGCTGTGAAGCCTGAGTCAGCAAGTGGCTGCTGTTAAAGCCTATTCAACTGCATCAGCTTTGTATGCGAGACACTGTTTTTAGCACTATTAGTCCACTCTGAGATGTGTTATGCTGTAGCGTAGAATCATCTTCCAGCTCTTTTATGAGTGGAACAGAGGAGTAACATAATTAAAGTTGACCATACGCTTTCCCTTTGGGAAAGGGGTTTTTCATTTGTGTGTGTTTGAATCAATCACAGTAGTCCTCAGCCTTTGAAACGTACAGCAAGGGGAAATTAGTTTACACATTAGGCAAAACTTTTTTTATTGTAACAGTAAAAAAGCACTGGAATTTATGCCTTCAGAAGCTGTAGAATCCCTGCTCTTAAGAGCTTTTAAAGTGCCAAGTAGACGAAGCAGCGTGTAGTGTTCTGAAATGCATGCAAAGAGGTAGGCACAAGGCTTCCACAGATTTCCAGGTCTATTTCTGTGATGTTTCCTTCTAAATATTTTTGTTTTAGTTTGCTTTTCTAAATCAGTAGAACTTTGTGATTGGGAAAGCTGTTGAAAGTAACTAGATTTTGCAATGTAAAAGGATGGAATAATAGAGCTTTGCTAAAATCTTCTCTGCTACTAAGTCTTTGCTCATGGGAAGGGAGACTGGCTTTTTGCTACTGCAATCACATGTTGCTGAGGTGAGCTCTGCCTGGTTTTGAACGTTGCAGAGCAGCTCAGTGTATCACACAATGGTATAAAAACTGCCTCTTTCTCTATAACACTGCTGTACAAATGGGAACATAGAGTCAGAGGGACATTCAGGGAACGAGCTCAATTCACTAAAGTAAACTTGGGCCCAAGTCCAGAATGTTTTATCCGGTGTCACCAATCACCAGGTGCACTGCGAGAAGCAGAAACCGCTCTGGGTTGCTCAGTTCCTCGTCTCCCTTTACATTTACGGGGCCCTTCCCCTCAGACCGGTACCTGCACTAAGAAAATAATCATCTCCTTCAAATCGAGTCATACTCCTTCAAATCAAGTCATATATTTTCCTGTTTGAGCATTTCTTTTCTAGCAAACAACTCAGCTGCCAAAGCGTCTTGACTGTTGAATGATTTTTTTACTCACCAACTAAGTCTAGGAAATTGCTGCTTTCCGCCCACTACTGAAATTAAAACCAGAAATGCATTTCCATGGTGCAGCAAGGAACAAACCTCACATCTCGTCAAGGCAGCAAAATTCAAGAGACAGGGCCAGTGGCACCTGAACAAACACTGTAGAAGCTGCAAAGTAAATTAGATTTTTAAAACTCTTGGTTTAATAATGTGAGCTGTTAACGCTGTGCCTGTACTACTTTATATAATGATGTTGTCAGCTCTCCTAAGGAACACTTGGCAAAGGTAGGACAACGCCTGCTGCAAAATAGACGGGGGATACAGGAATAAACTCTGACAAGCCATAGAATAGTTCAAGTATGCTACCATGAGGTAGGTGATGGCTCGTGTGATATTAAAATATGCCCACCATCTGCACTACAAGGTGTTAAGTGTGATACACCTCAGTGATGCCCAGTTTGTCTGCAGCACATTTATTGCACAGCAAATACTGCAGAATAAATAATACGCTGTAAATCCGTGTCGTGATTGATCTCGTGTAAAATATCCAGGCAGCCACGCTATTAAGTCTGATCTGAACTCCAAAGGGAGGCATTGTCTCCAGAAAGTCAGGCAGGAAATGGAAATTTTATGTCCCTATAGCCAAGTGGCGTGGATTGGGGTTATATCAAATGGCATTCCCGCTGGGTTTGCTGGGGGTGCAGATCTGCAGCATGAAGCTTTTGTCAGCTTAAGGCAATTTTTAAAGGGTCCCACAGCACTGTGAGGTTGCAACCCTCCCTCAGGTGTGTTGATTCAGTTGCTGTGGTCAGAGCTGTGGGATTTTATAGTTTTGAGAAATTAAGATCTTGTCGTATCGAGGTTTTTGAAGCTTGTGTTCATCCGTGCCAAGTGGAGTAAATGTAAGGGGGGAAATGACGAGTTGTTTTTATTTTCCTGAGGGGTGGGAATGAGCAAGTGGGTGGAAAGCAGAGGGAGAGATGGCCCTTGAACTTGTTTGGCACCCTGCGGAATCCTAATCTGGACCTACTCTTCAGTCTGTGGAGGGGGTGGCCTAGATTTTAATAAATCCTGGTCATTTTGGGGGTGCTGTAAGGCTCTGTTCCAGCCTGCAGAGGCACCTACGTACTTGTGTATGCTTGAGCCTTTCCTTGACAAGCACCTGGAAGGCAGCAGGGTTTCGACCTGAAGTACTCCAGGGAGCTATCAGCAGCAGCCCGTGTTTTCCTTTTCCCCCTGAATTGCTCTTTTTGCTTTGTGCTGTTGAAAGGCATGACTCAGGAGGATAGCAACTACTCTTGTACTAAATTTGTGTTTCCTTCTTGCCAAGTTAAACATTTGGGGACATTTTATAATGAAATGCACTTTCTGAACATGGTAGCACCAGTAAGGGATCATTGTTTTATTATGTATTGATCTTACTAGTGATCCTTTATGGTACAATGCAAGCAGCTTTTGTTTAACACAGGGGATTTTAGAGATCATAGCTCAAATTGGTTGTCATTCAAGCAGCTATCCGTGTGTTTGTACTGAATATATCACCGGTCTGCAAAACTAGTTTATCTCTCTATGCTTTCAGAATGCAAACATGGAAAGCACTCAGCTTTCGTGGAAACCCTGGGCTCTCTTACAGCTGAAGCCTAAGCGTTGTGCTTATTAAAATTACCTGCATCAGAGTGTTTTAAGGCTGATGTTTTTGTTTATTTAAAATGTATCTAATTTCTCAGAACACAGTCCAGATGGTTTTACTGCTTCCACCAGCCACTCGACCGCAGTAATATTCGGCTAATCCAATACCACCACCTTCTGGCTTTGCAGTAGCTTCATTGCTGTTACGAAGGAACCTCCATCATACTTCCTTGGTGTGGGTGAAAGCAAAGGAATCATATTTTGTAGGACCCTCTGTTTTGCCAGTAGGTCATGCTCTCTTTGGGAACTTAAATGCCTTCTCTCTCTTTAGGAATTGGATTGTGTTGGAAGAAATAGCTGATGTTTTTGTTTATTTAAAATGTATCTAATTTCTCAGAACACAGTCCAGATGGTTTTACTGCTTCCACCAGCCACTCGACCGCAGTAATATTCGGCTAATCCAATACCACCACCTTCTGGCTTTGCAGTAGCTTCATTGCTGTTACGAAGGAACCTCCATCATACTTCCTTGGTGTGGGTGAAAGCAAAGGAATCATATTTTGTAGGACCCTCTGTTTTGCCAGTAGGTCATGCTCTCTTTGGGAACTTAAATGCCTTCTCTCTCTTTAGGAATTGGATTGTGTTGGAAGAAATACATGCTGGGTATTTTTGTCCTGCTGGAGCAAGTTACCCGGTGCCGTGCCAGCCAGGTACATACAATCCTCTCCAAGGACCGGATGAAGCCGCCGATTGCCGAGCCTGCCCAGCAGGGAGAGCTTGTACTCAGACTGGTTCTGAGCATATTTGCTGGTGCTACAGTCACGTCTATGGCTGGTGGCCATAGTGCTGGGGATTGGAGTTTGGACTCCAGGGTTCTCATCTCAGCTAAGGTGAGCTGTCCCATTTTACTCATCAAGAACTTCCCATAAAACAAAAAGATTCTTCTTTTTCTAAGAAAGAACTGAGAGAGGGACAGCAGAAATGAGAATTCTGTCTGTGATACCTTGTCAAAAAATCCAGTGGGGGATTTTCCGTGACTCTATTTCAATCTGTATTCTGAAGTTTGCATTTATGTGCCTATTATTTTAACATATTCATGTATTTTGTATACGTTACTTTGTTTTCTAGGAGACTGTGCTGAGGGATTCTGGTGCCCGAGTAAGAAACCCCCAAGATGGAGAATCAGGACTTCCTTGTCCTCCTGGTCATTATTGTCCTGAAGGTTGGATGCTTTGCTAAAGCTTAATTTTTTTTAATTCATAGAGAGCATGAGATGGCATTTCCTTACTCTGGTGCAATTATTTTGCCAGGCACTCTGCTTCCGTTGCAGTGCCCTCCTGGCACGTGGTCTGGCAGTGAAGGTAGAAGGAGTGTGCAGGAATGCCAGCCATGTCCTGGGGGGTATTACTGCAACAGCTCTGGGCAGAGGGCACCCTCAGGACACTGCAGCCCAGGGTAAGTAGGAAAGCATCACATTTATATCCTCTGTGTAAGGAGAGGTGTCCTACAAGGGGTCTTCTTTACCCTCTTGGAATAAAGAGTATTTTCCTGTGTTTGTGGCTGCAGGTACTACTGTGTCACTAAAGCCCAGACCCCAACACCCACTGATGGCCTCTCAGGAGCTCCGTGTCCAGTCAGTCACTTTTGTCCTCTTGGATCCGGGAGTCCAGCCCCATGCCCCCCTGGCTCCCACATGCCGCACACCCACGGAGAGCAGTGCTATCCTTGCCCAGTGGGTGAATTCTGTGTCTCTGGTGAGAAGCCACAGCTGTGTCCCCAGGGTGAGTTATGGTTCCCACTTAAATGTCTAGTTTGTCTTTGATTTTCTAGAGCAGATTCTGATCTTTCCTTTCTTTTCCAGGGTATTTCTGTCCCGAGGGCACAGCTCTTCCGATTGCTTGTCTGGCCGGGTCCTATAACCCTTCACAAAGGCAAGCCAGCTGCCTCCCCTGTCCTGAAGGGTAAGAGTCAGACAGTGAGCTTAGTGTTGTGTGTATACTAGTATTATAATGTAACTATTGGAAATATACTAATATTATAATATAACTATTGGAAATTTTTTATCCAGTGATCACGGAGCAGTGTGTGGTGGGAAAATGACTTCATTTACTACTGAAAAGCACTTTGAGAAGGAAGCAGAGCAACTATTGAGCTCTGTTAAGCAACACTGTATAATTGATTATGGGACCAGGCAAAGTCCTAAACCCAGGTACAGCTACACTGGAAGGGAAGGCTGTTCAGAGCAAGGAAACCATTGGCACCATAGACTTTTTTCACGTCTGAAATAATAGATGGTTCCCTTGGCAACAGGCTGGCAGAGGCCTGTTGAAAGGGAAGAGAATCTTGTGTATCACCTGATGCCGAATCTGGTTTTTCCTTGGGGGATTCATCTCCAATTACTGACTGTTTGGATTTGACCTTGTTTAACTTGTACAAGTTGATGAATCACAGCCTGGATGTGTTATGACTCAAGTTAAGAAAATTATGTCTCTGTGGCTTTTACAATTATGCCATCAATTTGGCATACGAGGAAACAACTAATAATGTAGTAATATGCATAAATAGGTCTCTTTTGTGGTCAGCACAGTGCAGCAGCCACATTAGACCATTTAGTCTCACCATTAAGTCATTATTCAGGTACTCGTGGATAGTATATTGCTAGAAAATGTGTTTTTTTAATGTCTTTTTTTTTTCCCCATCCTTTTTTTTTTTTTTTTTAATCTCTCTTTGGACCAGCTGCTTCTGCCCCAAAAATTCCTCTTCCTTTTTGGAGAACGAATGTTCAGCCGGCCACTACTGCCCTCCCGGTACTGCTTCTGCAACTCAGTTCCCGTGTCCTCAGGGGACTTACAACCCACAGCCTGGAAGCAGCCTGATGTCTCGCTGCACCCCCTGTGACCCAGGTAACCAGCAAATAAGCATCTCTCAGGCTGAGGACAGGAGAATGTATGAAAATGTGTCTTGAACATTCCTGACCTTCAGCGGATGAACTGTGTAAGGACATAGCCTGTTCTCTGAAGTATGTTTCTGCTTTTTTCTGCTGGTACTAATGTCATGGCATTAGTAATGCCTCAGGGCATTACTGTGTGCTTGCAGGGCACCCACGCGTTACAGGACCCTGTTTGTCTGGGTTCTACTGCAGCAGAGGTGTTTCTAGTCCCACACCTACAGATGGTCTTCTGGGGAATGCATGCCCCAAGGGAAATTACTGTCCTCTGGGCTCTGCCTTTCCACAGCCGTGTCCTCCCGGTTATTATAGCAACTCAACTGGGAATACTGGGATTGAGGACTGTCTCCTGTGTGATGCAGGTACAGTATGAAAGGAAGGGCTAACGAGATTCTAGCCAGTCACCAGCATTTCTAGG